GTCACGGACCTGGGGGTGGCGTTGGTCTGCGAGAACCTGTCGGAGCTCCGGGTGCTGAGGCTCTATGCCATGGCGCCTTTGGTGCATTTTGCCAAGGGATGTTAGGACTTTAAATGACTTTAACTCTTTGCCAACTAATGGGTTGTCCGTAGCAAACCACTAGAAGTTATTCACTTGTAGCAGGGGAGCAGATTTCGCAATTGAGGCGCAGTTGGAGCCCAAAGCCTTCGAGGACCTGGCCAGGCGGAGATGGGGTGGGGTGGGGGTGGCGGGGGTGGGGCTATAGGGGGCTGGGTGGGTGGGTGGGGGGTTTTGATGGCTATCTGAAAGCCAAGACGGGCTCCGTGTGTTTATGCCAACTCCTTCACAGTTCCTTGAATCATGGCGACGCCCCCAGGTTCAGGATGGGAATCCTGCAGAACCGAATTTTGGCTCAAGTTGGCAAAAAAAAACCCTCGCGTGCCACGTGTATATTCTTGCAATCGACAATGCTCAGCTTCCTGATCGCGCTTGCCTTTTGCTTGCCAGTGGTGACAGAGGCTGCAGAACAGTGTGAGGATGAGCATTGCATCAGCCATACCGGCTTTCTGCAGCAAGGCATTCGCCTTAAGAAGAGCCTTTGTGATCGCATTCAGATGCCGCAGTTGCCAGACGAAGGTTCCTTTAGACATATGCCCCGCGACTCCGGCGACGCCTTTGTCTACGTACTGGCGGTGACCAACGACAGTGCCACAAATCCCTACAGCTATCGCTACGCGGAGCGTCGTAACTTCCGTGAGCGCTGGACCCCTTATGGCTTCATCTCGTATTGGCAGTCTAGCCCTGATGCAGATTGGGAGGTTCACAACCGGCAGGACGGCAGCGGAGACCCACACGAGACGACATGGGAATCCGCCGTCCAGTCAGCCTGTGGAGAGTGGGGGTGCCACTCCTCCATGTGGCACGTCAACATGTGGAAGGGCCATCGCTTCTGGTTGAACTTCTGCTGCTGGCCGGACCTGGTCGGCAACGAGGTGTTCTACGAGGGCGGCCCTGTGGATTCCGAGCTGGTGGCATACGCCTGGGAGCTCATCAAGGCGAAAGGCGGTGGCATGGAGAAGTACCCCTTGGTGGAACTCCCTGCGGGACCAACGAAGAAAAGCTGCCCGGGCTGGAAACCTGAATGATGCGGACTTTCTACAGCAAGGCTTCAGCCTTGAATGCGCGATCAGAGTGTAAAATGCGTGTGAAAGCAGGACTGTCACTTGGCCTGGTCGGCGTTGGGCCGTACGAGTGTTGGAGCCATGCTTAACGCTCTAAATTTCCACACCCAATCCTGCAAGAGCCCAATTTTCGATCCAATGCGCTACTGTTGGATCGCGATTGCACCTCAAACGGAAAGGTTCGCGGGGGCGAGCGCCCTGGGCCAGGCTGACGCAGCTGGAGGAGCTCGATTTGTGCGGGTGCCGCTGTGAGGATGAGGCGGTCGTGGCCTTCTTGGCGGCCGGGGCCGCAGGAGTCGGAGGGCGGAGGTGGCAGCTCGGCGGTGGGCCGAATTCCACCGAGTTCCTGAAAAATGGAATTCGGGGAAGGGCGACCCATGGCGACCCCTAGAGTTTTCCATTCATGGTTCGATTGTCCTTGTTGTGGGAAGACACGGAATTGGGGGACCCCTCGCCCTGAAGGTAGGGGGGATTGGCCGAGTTGGAGCCACGGCCAAAGGGCCAGACTGTGGATGGCTGCAAAGTCCAAAACTCGCACCACGAAACCCAAGGAAAAATGATGCTTCCGCTTTCATTGTACAAACCAACGAACAATGGTTTCAACCATGGTTTCGTGGGTGGTGCGAAATGGATTTTGCCCACCCACGGTAGGGTTGCGCCACAAGTTGGCAAAGGTGAAACAGGGGAGCCTCGCCAAACTGGTACCATGTTGGTGAAGAATCCGTTCACCAGGCATTTGGATGACGTACGCCAGCATGAAGGTGGAAAATGGTCTATTCACTAACTCCGGCATGCACCACTTGCGAAACAAAACATCCATGGGTCAAGCCCACTGGCTGAGGAACTGAAGAAGGCAATATATGTTTTAAGAACAGCACTTCTTCGTGTCCGGCCGGGATCAGCATTTCAACATGCCCACGCCGCCTTTCGCTCTTAGCTTTTAAACGTCCTTGCTTGACTTTACTCACTTTTTGTTGCCCTTTCGGGCTTCCTTCATGTTTCCCCTTTTTGACCAGTCAGCAGTTATCATTTGCTTGTGGCCTGTGATTGGGCAAGTTTTATGCAGGAGCGCTGCAGACGCTGAACTTGACATGGTGCCCGTCGCTGACTGACGACTCGATGCTGGCAGTCGCCAAGCACTGCTCGCGATGCTTGGCGACAATTGACCAGCACTTGGATGTTCAACCCTCCTAGCAAGTAGCATGCATTCATGGCCGCAATTGGTGTGGTGTTACTTGAGACTTAGGCAAGTTTCTTGTGACCATATGGCTACTGTTTGCAAAGTGGGTACCCAAGAAGTCGTGCTTTTAGCTTAGTCAAAACCTGGGCGGTCCTTTCCAGCATCTGCAAAATGGTTTGACGGCTGGTTAAGCGATGACACAATTTTGCCCAGTTCCAAGGCCAAGCTCGAATTACCAGTTAAGTGCTTTGGCCACCTGGAGGCGTCCTGAGGGCCACGTTGCTGCCCCGCGATGGCTCCTTTCAGGCTTTGTTTGGTTTCAATCTCTTTTTCCCATACACGGAGGGCACCAAAAAGTACAGGGCTGGGGACCAAGCCACGGTTTAACGCTCACCTAGGTCCCCCAGCCAGGTGCCCTTTTACTAACTTTTTTTGGGGATTTGGGTTCTTGTGCTAAAATAGACTACAGAGAAAAGGGTACCCTTATTCGAGCCTCTCTACTGGAGGACCTCGTCTTTGCACAAATGTGCTTCCCGTGTTGATGTCTGTTCTCCGGGGGTCCCAAAAGGTCCCTCTGGGGCTCAACATGAGGCCCGAGGTTCCATTCGACATTGGGGAAGCCCCTTTTTCGACACAGCGCAGGTTTGCTGTGAGTGGTTGGTCGAGATCAGGCAGGTAGTTTTACTCTATCTCGGACAAATCAATGGAGTTGTCCCCCCCCCTTTCAGATTGTCCTCATGGAGGTATGCCAAGCTTGGCAAGAAACAAAGGCTCCGGACGTCTGGTCAGGGTTTCGAAAAACGCTTTTGGACCCCTATATTTGCGAACATGAACGTTTTCAGATAGGGAACCCAGTTGCTTGAGAGGCCTAAATTGGCTCAGCTTCTTCGGGAATCTCAACATCACGGCTGCTGCTGTGGAGGCGCACGGGCAGCCGGGCAGCACGGAAATAGCTCAGTTTGGTGTACATCCCTCGGAGGAATTTGAAGTTATAAACCACCACTTCCATTTGGTTAAGAATTTCCCCCTGTTGGTTTCAAAGGCAATCTATCACTACTGGATTTGTTTTTGTTTTTCCTAGGGGACTTAAGCAAATGGAGGACCGTGAGCCACCACTTCCAAGGACAACTGATTGAACATGGACCTGGGCAAAGTTGGTACAAACAGAACACTAGACTGACCCGTTGTCCGTTTTGAAGGTAGCACCTGATGGAGGCTGAATCCGGTTTGAATGATATGGGTGTGTCTTTGTGAGGAGACACCCCCCCCCAAAAAAAAAAAACACCTTGGTTTCCCTTGAGACCTTCCGAACAAGGGGTAGCCTCAAAAACGACACACTCATTTTTGAACTGTGGCGGTAGGCGCAACTCTGCCTTGAGTGGCTCTGATTTCCGCCGCCTGTAGTGGGACCTATTGTTTTGCTGGGTTCTCTCAATTCCCTGCCTAAAATTGAGCCCGCCACAGTGGTTGTCCTTCGGCCTTGGCACACAGAGCAAGCACCCTCCAGAAAAACACTCAGCTGAGCTTCTGATGCAACTTTTCAGCCAAGCCTACCACAAGCCAGAAGAACACCTATGGCATTCATACATTCGCATTCATACCTTCATGCAGTCAGGCAGTCAGTCATTCCTTAATTCATCCATTCATTTATCCATTCATTTGTTTGTTCGTTCGTTCGTTCGTTCGTTCATTCGTTCATTCGTTCATTTGTTCATTCATGCGGTTTCTTTGCTGCTTCGGTGACTGAAAGTGTCAACCCGACTTCCCGGCCCTAGTTCCAAAAGCCATAATTCAGCCTGGCTGCTCGTTTTGTTTTGGGTGTGCGTGTAAACACATGCGGGATTGGGCAAGTGATTTGTTCTTCTACATCTCAAGGGGAAGAAGCAAGCACCAGCCACAAGCCTCAAGTGAGAGTGGCCACATCTCCTCAAGCTCAAGTGTGGATGGTTTGCTCGGCGCGGATGGCCATGTTTCTCCGCACGGATCCTGGGCGCAAAAATGCCTCCATCAACTTCAATCCTACCCAAAAAGAGGCCTTTTCAAAAGGGGATAGATCATTTTTAGCTCTTTGCCCAGCCTCCTGGCGCCGGGTGGTTGGGGGGTACGTTCCTTTTTTTGGTTGTCTCAGCTCACGAGCCCAGCTCCTGCCACGCAGGCCTTGGCGGCGTCTGCCAGCGGCGCCTCGCTGCGGTTTTTGGACCTCCGCGGCCTCAGCAAGGCGGCGCCCTACGCCAACGACGGCCTCAGCGCGCCTCGCACACGTGAATTGGAAGTCGCGGCCGGTGTTCGGTGCTTTGTGGTTGGAGTGAATGAAGCAGGTGACCAGCAAACGGAGACCTTCTTTTTTCAAAAGCAAAAATTGGGTTTGTCTCTTTTGAGGGACCCCAGCAACACGTGGGGGAGGTTCTTTAGCTTTGGGGTTGATTTGGGGTTCATTTGGCTCACTGTGGCTGAGCGGGGTGATGTTTGTGTCTGAGATTTGTGTGTCAGTGTGGGCGACTTTTGGCGTATTTTGGGGTTGTTTCACAGAAGAAAAGCACAGCCATTCTTGACTCCATTTCCTCCTTGTAGCTGAGCCAATCGATGTTTGGCTTGCCCCCAGTCTTTACTGCAACATCCCCACAGCGACCCTTTCCCATGCACGTCCTTCGCGAGTACAACAAAGCATACTTAATCTGGCACAGGAACGCGCGGCTGAAACTCGCGACATGGACGAACTCCACCATGAAGCTCAAGGATGATCCCATGATCTCCCTGTAAAATACCACAACGTTATGGCTTCGTTCCGACGGCTTTGAAGCGAACGGATGTCGCACTGCTCATCGCGTGATTGGCCTTTCAGGTTCGGCAGATCTTCCCGC